TGACCAAGTCATCGCTCGGCCTCTCCAGCCTTGTATCAGCTCGAACCACGTCCGCACAAGAACAAGGCACATTGCAAAAAGCCATGCGAACCCGGTGCGTTAAATAGCGGCGCCGAGTAGTTCACTCGCGCGCAACGTGCGCAATAAACAAGGCGCTGAACATGCCCACTGCTCACGCGGTATTCACAGTAGATGTGATGTGAGCTGTGAAGGTAATAGTGGTCGAATGCAACAAGGCTCTTTATGTTTGTCGCTATGAATGTGAACTGACGGCTGTATCTTTCAGGGAAACAGTGATGTGGCACCGAAGCCACAGGTGGCGGAGATTGGTAAAAGCACCTGGATATCAAGTTATTTCACTACCGCTAGTCTGTGTGGTGGAATATCTGGACGACTTCTAGCTGATCACAACTAAGAGTCATCGTGGAAGAGAACTTCGTATTTCGGGGGTGCAAAACAGCCCTAAACGACTGCCAGCCGGTGCTGATTGTCACGTTTGGAAGTTGTCACAGACAAGGGCAATGTCATAGGCATACTCCGAGTCAAAAAGTCGCATGCCTGGTAGGAGCTCCACACATTCTAAGCCGTGCCCAATGGATGCGGTTTACAATGCTTCGTCAGTGGCGAAGTTAATGAGGAAAGGTGGCAGAAGGTGAGGCTAGCACACAAAACTGAAGGTATTGAAAAGCGGTGACAATGTGCCATAAGCCCTCACTCTACCCGAACTATGTGCATAGGGCGCTCTTGTGACATATACATATTTATCATGCACCTCTTTCTTGAACGGAAGGTCACAAAGAGCACAATGACCCATCAAAATGAAAGAAGTCTTTATGTCGAGGAAAAGGCTACACTGAGTTTCCAACAAATATGGTAGCGTTCGAACAACCGACGTGATGTGAAGGTGCGGTTCAAACAGCCCGGCTTGCTCCCCGAGAATCTGACTTTCAAGAGTGCCAGCACGTCTTTGGAGAACGACAGAAGCAATTGAGATCAGACTGATTCCTTTATGACTGCCGCATTCCGAATGTGAACCACCCTATAAAACTGGGACTATAGTGGAGAGCGCCTCCAGTCCGTTGAGGTAGCCTCCTACTCACACTGTTTCAATAATAAGTCAAGCAGATCGTAAACAAAAGTTGGCCCCCTGAGTGATAGATGAGGTCCATCTGCTCCTGCGGCCTTATTCGATTTCATAAATACAATTTTACGTACAACTTCCGCGTGCGAAGACAGCCAAAGAGGGATGGTCCAAGGAGAAAGGCGGTCACTGACCGGTAGCGAATCTAGTAAACCCGATTGCGGAGCGAGACTATATGTGACGAGAGTGGACAGCAAGTGCACGGCTTGTTAAAACGATTGGAGTGTTGGGGCGAGCACTTAGAAAAGCAACTTAACCGAAATGAGTTGCCATATTTATGATTGATCATTGCATTGAATCCGCCCTCACGCGCGGAAGTTGAACGTGAGATCAGACAGCTGAAATTGAACAAGGCCGCGAAGGTAGATGAATATCCTCTAGCCATATTTGGGGGATCCGCTCTTGTGCAGCATGAGTTACACAAGTTACCAGTGAAGACGCAGGAGCAATAAACCGCAGCAACCGACTGGAGCCGCTCTGAGCCATTAAGGGAGGCTCACGTACGGTTTAAGGCATCAGTCTGATCACAGTATCAGTCTAACCACAAATGCCTATAAGTTACTTGTCTACGTCGTCCACCATAGACTAAAGGACACTGGTGAAAGTCAGATTCGCGACGATCGACACAGTGCGGCTGATGCGCTGTCCAAACGCCTGAAAGACGCTGTTGAAAATACTTATTTCGCGGCTCGCCTACGCAACAACAACAACTACAACTACAAGCCTTTATTCGCAATACCTTTGAAAGACAGGCTGTTTCCGGTGACTCGATCAATGCTTGGTTATCAGTACTCGTGCTCCTGTGGTGCATGATACGTGGGTGATACCACGAGGCGCCTATAGCATAGGATTCGAGAACACATTCACAAAGGTGAAGTGAGGTCTTGTAACCGCTCCATCATATCGCATCTCTTAGAGTGCGATCATGCATGGACGGAAAGCGACCTCAGCGTCATTTATACTATCACTGAGCGTTTCTCGTGCAGATTCCAGAGGCTATCTCAATCCGCCACCTTAAGCCAATGTTGTGTGTACAAAAACATCTTGAACGTCCTGACGTTGTACGTTCCTGTGATTTGTGTCCCAGTTACTCTTTGTGAAAATGATTTGCCCCCTACATACTAAGCCACCCTCAATGACCCCGTGATGTATTGATTTGTTCCCGATGGAAGAAAACATTCTGATCAATACGCAGCCCGATCCGGCACATTTGGCATTTTGTCGTCATCATGTAATGTTTGAGTCTGATGAGAATTACCGAAAAGAACTCCTTACTCAGGATCTGCCTCCTTGGATTTATTCCATCAAATGGGAATCTTGGACTGTTGAAGACCAGCATCCAGTGTGATCCAATCATGACATTATTTCACTCAGAATCGTTTCCCATCAAAAGTATGTTCCTTAATTTTTATTAAAAAACAGAGTGAATGTAAGGGACGCAACTCCGAATTTGAAGTATACCAGACTGGATAGACCATGGGAGCCATGCACGATGGACTCGTAATTGAACATGATGTATCCAACATAGGAGGACGAATGAGATACCGACTGATAACAGAATCACACGCGGATGAGAAGAAAACGGAGCGAGACGTATGACACACCGAAAGATGGGTTGTCGCTTCTGGACCTGGTGAAGTAAAGTACGACTGAGCGGTCTGGCCGCAAGTTATCTCGGAAGCAGATCTGCTTACTGACAGAAAGTATCACTGGGTAATCGCATGAGCTTCCTCAAGCTTGATAACGTAAAGATCACAGAAAGAGTAAAAATCCAGAATGCATCGAGGCATAGCACTCGGAACATAGTTCAATCAATAGATATGTGGAACCAGAGGCTGCCTACGAAGCGCTGTGAACGAAGATAATAAACAACCTCGGTTAATCCAGTACCAGTCAAACCTTGCCAATGAAAACGGGGAAGCCAAAACGTGGCCTTTGTTAGAGACTAAAAACAAGCCAGAAACACAGATAAGCCACATCCCTGTATTGATGATACCGCTTAGATTGGTAAGCAAACTACTGCAGTTGCAAAATCAGCACGGAGAACAACGCATATTCATATCGCGAGTCATAAGTGTTCTCAGTGATTGTCCAGCTAACGGTTCTCTAGCAAGTGCAAAAAGCTAACTAGTTGATACAGATGGTTAAGAACGGATGATGCGAAAATGCCGGCAGCACCCTAAAACATAGGCGAATATGTTTGGTCCATCATTGGGTTTCCTTTCTACCAGCTCCTGCTATCAATCCTACACTGAAGATGCCACCTCGAATGGTGGCGAAACGTTTGCAATCAAGCTGCCCAGCTCAGAGAACATCACAACAACTGAATATGTTTGGCTTCCAGTGAGCGAGTCACCATCACCATAAGTATGAACAGTAGTGCAACAACGGCTTTTTACTGGTGTTTCAATGCCATATAATCGCAATAAAATTGTTAAAGAGTGGGATGAGGAGCCTGATGGGGAACGTAAATGCCGCAAGGAAATATCTAGGATTAGGGTACCGACGTAATCACCGACCATCGCTGCCTCCACAGCTTAGCTCATATCTGGTGGGAGCAACGCGTGAGCAACGAGCGTGTTCGGCGTCGCGTATTTGGTGCAGGAAGAGTTAGTGAACCGCTCAGCACCATTATATCACGCACCAGGCTTTCATGGCTGGGCCACGTGTTGCGCATGCTAGCTCACTGACTACTGTGATGTGCATTAGTTCCGCGCCGGGGAAGTGGTTGGAAGAGGAGACCAAGCGATGATTTGGTAGAGAGAAATGAAAATCCTCGATTCGAAGTTGGCTTGGCTAGGGTCCTAAAGACGATGAAGACGTTTGGTTGGACACACTTGCTGATATGACGAAGAGTCGACCCCAGTGGCGTTTGTGTTGTGAATTTCATTGTCCCTCCCCTTCCACTTAGCCTCCCCTTCCAACTACGATCTCAATTATTAGGGATAAGATGAGTACTTTGCGGCAGAATATCCGGCTGTTAGCTCTCTGGAACAATGTCTATAAGTTACTGTATTGTGGCACAATAGTTGAGATGTTTACCACCTGTAGCTAAAGTGTAAAATGATGATGAAGGTACTCACACCTTGTCGATAACATAAGGTCGCAAGCAGCTGCACATAGTGTGAGGACAAGGTGGTATAGGTGAGATAGCACACCTGCGACTGCCACTGTCCCGCGTCATAATCAGCCATCGTCCCGTAGATAATTTAAAACCAGACACTAAGTAAACGTGCGGTCCGATTAGGAGACAGCAGCAAATATCGCACGAATATCGGTTGCAAGCCATACATTGTCTGTCCCGTGCCCATATTGCTCGCCCCTGCTCCTCAATTCGAATCCCTTGGTTTTGGTACAAGTAACGAAAATAAGGGTGGAAACGTTGTTATAATGTCAGAAAACCGTCTTCGGAATTCTCGATGGCAGTTTGGTGGAAGCTATCGCAGTTAGCTGGGAAAAATATCCGCGCCAAAGGTGGAGACCATACGTCTCGTACCAAGTACAGTGTGAAGAACGCGAGCCTCAGCTTAAGGATCGAAACGGACAAACAGTGGCCAACTTAGTCACCAGTGAGCGAAGTTAGAACCGAAAGCACTGCTCGAAACGAAGGATACTGACCCTAAATAGAAGACATGGATAGTTAAGTCACATAAAATAAAGATCATATAAGTAGTTGGAAAATAACCATAGATATCATCAGCCTAGAGTAGGAAAGTTGACCTTTGATGCTGGTACCCGGTAAGCAAACTGCACTACCTAAAGTGCGGCCAACAAAATTGAGCAGTGCACTAAAGAAATCCCAAAAATACGAGGCGTATTATGAAACAGTGGTGGTGTGAAAACGAATGAAATCACTCACAAGGTTAGAAAAGTTTCATCAGTGATCAGATTGTTCAGGCTGCGAACAAACCGGATCACGGACGTATTCGCTGCTCCCACTCGGCCGATGTCCTCATCCGGATCGGTTGGATAGCAAGTGTGATTGAATTGGCATATCATGGATCTCATATAGGGTAGAAAACCCGCACTTGGAAGGCTTTGGCTGGGTATGTGACAAGCGGGATGAGGGTAGACCGGCGAGTGATATCGAAACACAACGATGATAGCGACAAACAGCAATGGGAGCAGGAGTTCGGCGGTGAGTACAAATGGCGAGCGAAGACGGAGCAGCCAGTTCTTCCATAGCAAAGTAGTGAACTGACGGAAATACTGCCTCCATTGAATTACACATGTGGGCATGAGTTGGGAAGCATGTGAAGTATCCGTTGAAGCGTGTGGGATGGACGGTTGGTCAGAAAGGGAAAAGCTTGCAACATTGGATGATGTTTCCATTCAACTGTAGGGCAGATAGAAGAATACGAGCTGCAGAGAGAACACTTGTTATCGTGGTAGTCTAAGCTCCATGCGCGTTACATAGAAATACAAATTTATAAAAAGTTATAAACTTGATTTCATGCAGAGTATGCATTCCTTGCATAGGATGCAGGTAAGTTTGAAATGGATTCCGGAGTCTGTACTCAAGTTCCTGAATGGAAAACATAGGCCAAATGATGTAACAGGTAGATAGTTGTCACAAGCGCCATCTGTTTTAGCCAAAATCCCGCAACTTCCGCACAAATGAAGCAGCAACGATGAAAAACACCCTGTAGACCGATGTTAACTCACAGAGCCGCAAATAGTAAGCTAGCTTGAGATGTATGATGAGACATGTGGTGACGACACTAAAAAAGTGCAACGCTATGCAGCATGACAAGCAATAACCACCAGCGAAATGAAAGACAGATAGAGAGTGGAATGTAGCTTGCTAACCTTGATCTCGCGGCAGTAGACAAGACACTAATTAAATCCAGTGTCATACTGAACAGCGACGAAAAACTGACGCCATCCACCAAAGACAACACTAGATCATTCACGCTGTGTACCACATCAGTGTAAAGCTGCGGATGCAACAAATATCTCGGTGGGCAAATGGTGAGATTATCGTTACAAGGCCCATTCACCTACACACACATCAGATAACCTTGTAAAATTCAACTTGGATTAGCTCACTTCTGTGACATTGGACAGACGCGGTCCTAAATTACATAACGTATGGAGAGGTATGCTATGATCGGAAGAAAGGCGTGTTGTAACACGGCATCATTGGAGCAAGTTGGTCAATCTAAATCAGTGAAACCCTGTGGGATCTGTGGATTAATAACACGAATGATGTTAGTGACCTTCTCATTAGAAAAAAAACAAATGAACCAAATCATTGAAGAGGTCCTGAATAAAGCTCAAATTATGTTTTCGAAATGCGAACAGCGGTCTGCGTGTAGGGAATTCCTTATCAAGCCCATTAGCAAATGCATCTGTTAAGTCCCGGGACATCACAAAATACCATATGACTACCTAGCGGTCGCGTAAGACAACGCTGACTCAGCTACAAACATTCTTCCATTTGCCGAAACAATTACGGTGAGTTTAACAGAGAATCGCGACCGAGGAGAATCCACGAACGACGATATGCAGACGTGGAATTCCACTGACAAGTGATCATAGGCTTCGAAACTAGGGTGCTCTAACAGGAAGTCGCTTGCTGACTGTATACTAAGAGACACTGGAGGAAAAAACAGTTATATCCACAAAGACCGCAGATGTACCATGGTGGTGAGCACGTAGCTTTCCGTAACTGCAGCATTACAGAAACTTTTAAAAAACGACTGGCAACAACAACTAAACGTTTAACAACCACCAAGAAGGATGATAGAAACACAAAACGGACCAGCTTCAACTTCCGATATGGTTTCTACATTTTGCGCGTGCGTGTGGCATACAGTGTTGGCACTAGCTCAATTGGTGGACAGTTGGTCGTTATCAGGTCAGTAATCAAACCAGCTAACTATTCCACAATACACACCATGTTGCCGTTGCGTTCTGGAACACCTAACCCCTCACCCAAAATAACTTGTGCTTGGAACGGATGCATATTACCACCTTCTAATTATCAATAAAGTGATTTGCGGATGCGGGTTCGCCATGCATGAATGGGGTAGTTAAGTGAACCTTGAAGTCTAATTACTCCGGTCATCGGATTGCGTCACAAGTTAAGTACGGGTGGTAGAGGAGGAATAAATTTAATGGGAACTTTACACGTATGATCAGCGACGTGGTGTTAATGATACCGGCAAATTCAGACTGTCAGGGGTCCGCTGAGAGTCCGAAGTGGACTGTCTGCGGACTATCACGAAGTTGTGACCTGATCTGAAGAAAATCCCACACCCCCTGTGTTTCGAGCGGAGGGTTGTGCACGCCTGGAACAGTCTGCCAGAACACGTCGTCGAGGCCGAATCTGTGCAGAAATTCAAATCTTTGTTGGATTTACACTTCGCTAACATACGTTTCAGAGAACGGTTGCCACTTGACAACGATATCACCCACTTGTGACTCACTGTGTAAACAAGCATTTTGTGTGCTACAGAAGGAGTTGCTGAACCATCTCAGGATAACCACCGGACGTGTTTATTTTTTTAAAATGTTTGTTGATTATCACCCGATGGAGTTGTACAGAATTATTTTCTACTTGCTCCAAAATACAGTATTCAGTATTCAACTGATGGTATGGTGCGGATTTCTTTCCAGGGGAAATGACTCATTTTTTGACATGAATAATTAACAAGTTGATCGTTTCTCCGAGCTTGATAAAGGGATTGCATACGTTTCACCACTATGCGAAATGGCATCTTCAGTGCGGTGATATGCAGTGTACAATCCTGCTTTTTGAGTCGTCCGTCCGTGAGCGACGGGCAGGTGACCTTTTGAAGGTGGCAATTTCGATATGCGCCACGTGATCTCTGCCCGTTTTCTTCCGCGGCTGAACCATGTCTTTCGATTCGCCGGAGATCTTTCTTTCTGAGCTGATGGTACACGGGATCGATGTCGATGCGCATGTTGATCGGATTATTAGAGGAGTACCATGATACTAGGAATTCTGTTCCTTTCTGTGTTGTTGTTTGAGCTAGAATCTCCGTTTTGTTCCAATTGAAGCTATGTCCCTCCTCATCCACATGCGCTGAGACAAGAGACGATGCATACTGTTTTTTATACGCCCTCTGATGTTCTTGTATCCTTGTGGATAATTTCCTTCCTGTCTGTCCTACATAGTTCATTTCACAATTATTGCAATTTATTTTATACACGACGTTTGTTCGTTCTTGTGCATTCCTAATGTCCTTTGGGTTTGACAGTATGCTTCTCAACGTAGTGGTTGGCTTATGAGCGACCACGATGCTGTATTGTTTGAGCAATCTGGCAGTCATTGCAGATATGTTCTTCATATACGGCAAAATGACCCACTTGCTTGCATTTGTTATCGGCTCGGTGTTCATAAGTTCATAGTTTAGACATCTGCGGATGAAGCTGCGTGGGTACCCATTGCGCTCGAACGAATCGAATAGGTGTTTCTCTTCTCCCCGTTTGGCTTCCTCTGTACTGCAGTGTGTTTCAATCCTGCGAAATAGTGTCCGCACGCAGCTTATTTCGTGGCACTTTGGGTGGTTGCTGTTGAAGTTCAAAATTTGGTCCGTATGTGTGCCTTTCGTGTGAACGGATGTTTGGAATTCACCATCCTTTGTTCTGGTCACCAATACATCCAAGAATGGAAGCTTGTTTTCTGCCTCTAACTCCGTAAACCGAATCCCATCCGATGCATTGTTGAGTAGTTGGTGTGCGAGTGCTACTTCATTGCGTTTGAGTATTAGAAATGTATCGTCGACATAGCGTGCCCACTTCGGGTTAATAGCTGTTAGCAGATCTTCTCCCAACAGGCAGGAAGGAAACTATCCACAAGAACATCAGAGGGCGTATAAAAAACATTATGCATCGTCTCTTGTCTCAGCGCATGTGGATGAGGAGGGACATAGCTTCAATTGGAACAAAACGGAGATTCTAGCTCAAACAACAACACAGAAAGGAACAGAATTCCTAGTATCATGGTACTCCTCTAATAATCCGATCAACATGCGCATCGACATCGATCCCCTATACCATCAGCTCAGAAAGAAAGATCTCCGGCGAATCGAAAAACATGGTTCAGCCGCGGAAGAAAACGGGCAGAGATCACGTGGCGCATATCGAAATTGCCACCTTCAAAAAGTCACCTGCCCGTCGCTCACGGACGGACGACTCAAAAAGCAGGATTGTACACTGCATATCACCGCACTGAAGATGCCATTTCGCATAGTGGTGAAACGTATGCAATCCCTTTATCAAGCTCGGAGAAATGATCAATAGGTGAGCAACCAACCCGGGCTACCAGTGTTCCAAATTATGAGTAAGTAAATTCTCCGCAGTAATAAAACTTAAGCACATAGTTCTGCGTGTTTCAACGAACTTGCGTTCGTTAGTTTTGTTCATGTGCTATAAACAAGGTAGTAGGTGGGGCATGGATAATTGGAGATATAAGGCACATTGCCCTATATCTCCTATTGTGCTAGGTCCATCTGGAGAGGAATAAAAGGTGCACTGCAAAAAATTTTCCTACTGTCCTTTGACAGTCCGAATCATGTTCAATTGGAAGTTATTTCGGACTCCCAGTGAACTGTGGGGGGGGGGGCTGTCAGCGGACTTTCGGCGGAATGTCGTGCCGGCAGGGTAGGGGCTTGAAATGGAACTTCGAACATCGGGAATTTTCAGCTTACAAACGAGACAAAAAACAAACAGCTGCATTGAGTGTGAGGTCGTGATATGTAGTGAGAATGTCATTTGTCCGGCACTGAGTATGGAAATGGCTAACCCACTTTTCGAGCAATATAACTACGGTCGACGGTTACATCCTTAACTATATGGATAGTGAATTATCAACTCCTTCCTATAGTGCGAAACGTTGATACTCTTTTAGTTACTAATTTAAGACTAATTCAACAGGTGGCGACGATATGCTCTCTGATCCCGTAACGCCGACATAAATGTAGCTGACCTTGGATTAGAGTAAGCAGTCGTTTCGCCGTTAGTGGAACCATAAAATCAGAGAATGCAATCGGCAAGAAAACCCCAAACCCAGCGGGTATATTGTAACATGACGATGATTCCGCTTGGACTCGGTGAAGGCAACCTAACTATAAGCTTAAATTATAAGTTCGATCGATGCCGCATGACGGGTCTCTGAACAACTAGGACTGAACATTCTATCGCTTAAACTGGGAAAAGTAAGCATTCATGATTAAGCACCCAGAGAAATCATATTATTATGCACAATGGTTAGAAATGCAAAATATTCTCATAACTGATTAGTTTTGTACGAGCGATCAGATTTTCAACCATTAAACCTTTACGTAGCGCAAACAACAGGTGAACGAA